TTATTCGTGATGTTCCCCGATCTTTCTAGAACTCATTACGTGTTACTAGAGTCACGTGACTTTCGCTGTCGTAACAATATCATGCACACTTTTACAGTGGAAGTGATTCTTTTAAACAATTAATACCAGCCAGCCCCTTGGAGCGGGAAATCTTCAAGCATTGTATGGTTAACAACAATTGCAAATTTAAGTGTACGGTTATTTTTAACAGTGTACATATTAAGTTAAAACATTTATAATAGGTGGCAATATATTATATAAATAATACATGAAGAAAATAAATAAGTCTATAGCGTTAGTTTATTATCATTATAATGTTGTAACGCCATTCTTTTGTTGAGTGGGTTATTTTAGATTATTTGATGAAAAAAATAAGAAAATCCAGTTCACGTAATAATAACAAATTAGTTTATTTTTTCCTAGATTCTACAAACTATTTTCACTGGTACACCGTTTTAATTTGTTGTAGGCCTAACTCTACAAATGATATTCAAACAAAAGTACTTCGCTAATGCTACTACGCTAACGTAATAATAAACATACGACCTGCAGATTGCGTTACGGGCATCATAACCATTAGCCATGTCAGTCCCCACGTCATTATGAAACCATCTGGATTTTTTAGAAAACCAACGCACTCAGAATATGCAGACTGGATATACACACACTACCCAAAACAGAAACTTGGAAACATAAAATGTATAATTACCTCTGCCACCGAAGGTTACGTAAATTATGTTTTCATCTCTGTGTGTGTTTGTCAGCAAGATTTCTTGAAAATGGCTAAATAGATTTGGACGAAATTGATATACATTTGGGCTATGATCCAACTTAAAGGTGAGTAGGTTTTGGAGGGTCAAGGTTATAGGTCAAGCCCACAGCAAGGTCACGAAAATAAAATAATCCCTATCTGTTATTATGGATACTAATTTTTCACTTTATAACTCAGTCAAAAGTAATCGGATTTTGATGAAACTTGGTGGAATTATGTAGAATAGCAATCCTCATTGCTCTGTTGATAACGACGAAAATACAGATACATTTTCGTATTTTTTTAGGGCCGAATATGATTAACGCAGCGTGGCGGAGGTATACGCTCTACTGAATGGCCTCTAGTTCAACTTGCAATTGATAATATTGTTACGTCTCT